AGCCTATCTGATGGTAAATGGTTACCGTAGCCTATGAACGCCTGATCGGGGGTATCACGTGCGCGTTGCCGACTTAAGAAACCTTAATATACCGTTCTTAAAAAAACTCATATTTTATTGCACAGATAATAAATTGAGGTGGACATATCTCTAGAAGAGATCATACAGTGTATATCAAATATATATATGAAGGATGGAGACCAAGATGACGAGCAAAAAGTAAAACGGCACCGTTGTAGTTGTAGAATATTTTTGTATTAAATTGACTTATGTATAAAATATATAATATAATAATATTATATTATACAATATAATATTATAAAAAATATAGACACTAAAAAAGGTATATAAAATAGTTTCCAATAATATATATATATATAGGTAAACCTCAAGCAGCGCCCGTGACTTGTGACACTACTTGCAGCTTCCCCCTAGGCCCAACTAAGGGATAAACCCATTTCTAGTACAATTCACTTTAGTATCCAAAATACACGCTCGTCGACTGAATGCCGCGGTTCACACAACGAAAGAGCATTCAATTTTTTTTTTTCTGACTACTCTAATGCTGTTGGCCGTAGCTGGCCTTTACAGCTTCACCGGACGTTAGGGGGCGAGTGCAGATGGCACTCCAAACCCGCGGAAGGACTTATGGAGCGGCTGAAGGCCAACTCCTGCCCGACGGATACGACTTTAGTGGGCACCACTAGGGGTTCGAACCTCGGCTCAGGCCGTCGTAATTTCGATCCCCGTTTGAATTGGACGGGGGATCGATCGGAGGGGAGCCCGGGGGCGCCGGTGTGGAGCGCGCGCGCAGGCGCCCGGTTGAATGCGCGATAATGTGTGTTTGAGGTCGTCGTCTTCGCCGGCGAGGACGGTGTCGTATGTGTGTGTAAAAGTGTGGTCGGGGTGGAACGGGTGGGCCCGTGGGGAGGTTGCCTGCCGTTATGGGGTCGTCGGGGTCAATGAGAACGTGCCTCGGGCGACGTTGTCGCATATGTCGGATATTACTCCTCGATGCGTAGTCGACCGCACTGACTATAAGCGGGTTAGGGTAGGATTGGGCAGAGTCGAAATAGCGTCGAGACGCTTCCTTCATAAACTGCTTGATGGAGGGCAGATTAAGATGGCGGTGGAGGTCTACGCTGCGAACGAACCACGGCGCACCGGTGGCTCGGCGCAGAAACCTATTCTGTATGATCTGTAGTCTGTTGCGAATGCGAATACGGGACTAGCGTAGGTCATGATGGGACGGATACAAGCCTTGTATAATGTCAGCTTGTTGCGAAGCGACATTTTACTGTGCTTGTAAATAAAAGGATACAGTCGCCCTAGTATAAAGGCGGCTCGGTCGCGGACACGCTTGATGTGAGGACGAAACGTTAGTTTCCTGTCTAGGGTGACGCCGAGATATTTCGTTTTCAAAACCCACGGGATGTTTTGGCCGAATAGTGCGATCGGGTGATTCATAGAGTCTAATTCCCTGCTAAAGTACTCTGCTGCACTTTTTTCGGGATTGACTTCTATAAGAGCATTCAACTAACGACCTCCGTATTTATAGACCGAAGTCAGTGTAGTATTGAGAGAAGGGGGTAACGGTTATCTTATGATAAACAACTTAGTTCGGTCCATAAATACTAGATGGCGCTATTTACAATATTTGTAATAATCTTTACATTGAGAACTTTATTAGTACTAAACACAAACTACCTTCTTTTAATATCTTTTTAAAATATCGGATTTTTTCTACAATACTGATCTGAACTCTAACATGTATATCAATAACATTATACAGCATATAATCCTTCCCATTCATAAAGATTCACAGAGTAATCCATTTATCTCTGGTGATAAATATTAAGGGTAATTAAACAACGTACTCTTAATTGCTGGTCATGTCACAAATTGTGATGAATTGCCATTCACGGAGTATAATAACTGGAATGACAAACGAGTTAAATGCTCACCTGATGGTGAGTACCATCGCCTATATGTATACATGAACATGTTACCATCTGATCCATTTAACAGATATCTTTTTTCTTTTCTAATACTTTTGCGACTTGCACAGTGCGAAAGCACAGCTTATGATTGTTGATTATGGCTTATATTATACTAGCTATTCGCCCCGGGTTCGCACGGGTGTACGTGTATTATATATATATATAAAACTTCCTCTTGAATCACTCTATCTATTAAAAAATAACTGCTTCAAAATCCGTTGCGTAGTTATAAAAATTTAAGGATGACGGACAGACAGCGACAGCGACTTTGTTTTATATTATGTAAAGATATTCTTTACCATCGTTGTTTGTATCGGTCTGTGTGTTTTTTTATGTATCTTAGGTATCTTACATATATTTATAAAATTACATTTAATTATTTATATCAGTTGTCTGGTACCCATAACACAAGTTCTGCTTAGTTTGAGACTAGATGGCGTTGTGCTTTTTGTTCAGGGATATTATTATTCCGAACATTACGTGTACAATGTCGCAGGCTTAGCTAGTCGTAAATCTATATAAATAAAATTGGAGTGTCTGTTTGTAATATTGAAGTAACCGTTTTTTACTACAAACATATGAATATAAATACGCTACATACACCAAAATATAATTTTTTACAATTTTTGTCTGTCTATCTGTTCTTTCGGGTTAATCTCTGAAATGGCTGAACCTATTTTGACGGGACTTTTTTTGGCTAATATAATAAGGAGTAACTTAGCTACTTTTATAGAAAAGTTCTTTTATTTTAGAAAAATATAGTTAAATTCCACGCGGACGAAGTTACGGGGACAGCTAGTCTTAAATAAGAAATAAAGGCCGGAATACCACATTCTCAATATCAAAACCACATCTCAAACATTATCCTCAATAGTTGATTATTCGTAACCGACTATCAAAATAGAGAACTCATTAGCAAGATATTGCTTCAGGATAGGAAATTAATAGCTACAGAAGAGTAAATATGGACGTAATACTATACTATTATACCAAGACTATTATGAGAATATATCTTATCATTATATTTACACTAATATCTCAGTGGTCTAGTGATTTAGTACGTCGCCTTACATCTGATACTCGCTAGTTTAACTCTCGTCTTTTTTCAGACTACTCTAATGCTGTTGGCCGCAGCTGGCCTTTACATCTTCACCGGTCCATAGGGGGCGAATCCAGATGGCACTACAAACCAAAGGACTTTTTTTTTTTTTTTTTATATTTAAATACATTTTTCCACAGACATATTCGTCCGTGCCTTTTTTAATTTACTTTAATATTATTATATTTATTTAATTTCCATTTTTGTACAACTCCAGCCGAGATGTTACAATTTGCCTAACAGTGACACCGAGGCAGACCTTATCCGTCTGGCCCAGAACCACCGCTGGCCGGCCGGGTGAGTTGACAACATGCAGTGTCACCCATCTTTATTTGGAAGATTAGATTTATCAATATGCATATACAATTATATAAATCTTACACTACTACTAATTTCACAGTTTTCATTACATTGTGCAATGTAAGAATTCATAATGTAACAATACACATTATGAATTCTTACACTGCATATACAATTATATGAAATCTTATTCTAACACTATTTTCAAAGTTCACTATTTGTTATAGTCCAGGTTTTGTTTAATTATTGATTGTTTAATTTCACAGTTCACTTTTTGTCGTAATTCGGCAATTTTTTTTTTTTTTTTTCCCTTTTTCACTTCCCTTTCCCCTTCTTTCTTTCTTTCTTTTTTTTTCCTTTCCTTCTCCCTTTTCTTCCTTTCCCTTTTTTTTTTTTTTTTTTTTTTTTTTTTAACCAAAGGACTTATGGAGCGGTTGAAGGCCAACTCCCGTCTGAAGGCAAGGGGTTCGAACCTCTGCTCAGGCCGTCGTAATTTCGATCCCCGTTTGAATTGGACGGGGGATCGATCGGAGGGGTCTCTCGCGATTTATAATTCAACTTCATTTATAAGTTGGTGAGCAGAGTGTTCTCCATATTATGCGTATGTATATAAAATCTGTCTGTTTAAGTATTTATATTAGTTGTTTAGTACCCATAGTACTGGAACTCTATAGTTTGGGTCTAGATGGCGCTGTGACAATACATAACTCTGAAGGGTTCTTTGTTTGAATGCTTATGAAATTGTCAGATATGTTTTTTATAAAGGTGTTTAGCCAACATATCTCTAAGTTCCTTAGAAGCCAAGCAAAACAGCATATATAAGTTTCTTGAGATATAAGATCATAAATAAGTTTCTCTCTTAATAAGAATTTTTGATGAATCTTTTGGTGTATATTGTGTGTATATATTTAAAGGTTAGATAATTGATTTATTGCCAACATAACATAAATAATACAATTTCCAATAAGACACAAAATAAGAAAGAAATAATAACATAGAAAGTTGGCAATAGGAGCTGCCTCAGCTGTTGCTGATATAAGCACAAACTTAATGAGGTGCACTTATACAGCGCTGGTTTTCTGTCAGCCCCCATTACTCATAAAAAAAACTAAGATGCGGGTTTTTACTACATACAAATACATATAATTTAAACAAAAAAAAAAGGTTCTTGAAGAAACGCACGGTGATGGACCATCACTCATCCAAATGATCACGATGGTAATTTATTTTCTGAAGGGTAGTACGAGGGTCAACGTACTAGTATAATGTACAGAATTGTAAATGTTAGGGTTCACATCGATATTGTTGAAAAATCTGATATTTTATATTAAAAGAAGGTAGTTTCATTATTACTCGGTATCGTTAAACTAGTTGCATATAACCCCCACTCATATCTTCTCTGTATAAAAGGGAGGGTTTTTGTAGGCCGCGGCATTCGGTCTTTGAGCACAGGATGTGCTGGTTGTATTTTAATTGCTAAAGTGAATTGTGTTAGAGGCATAGTTAAATTAATGTTATATAGTTGTTATTTTATTATAATACATACTTTTACTAGTACATAGAGTTGATATATCTAACATAAATAACCGTGGAAAAAAGTTCTAGAATGTACTCACGTTCTCCTCGACGGTCTTCTTGATCTTGGCGCTGGCCTCGCTCACCTTCGCACCTGCCTTGTTCACGGCCGAGTACAGGAAGTTGCCCAGGGACTTGGCGCCAGCTACAGCCTTCGTTGTCACTATAACAAGGACAGAACATTCAAGATCGGCAACGTATGCGAATTCCCGTGTTGTTTTTTTTTTGTTAATGACAATGGAATAATGCACCCGTCTGCGCTAACTGTTTACGCTGGTGGGGCACCAGTGGAGGATGATAGGATGAACATGAAGTCAGATCAGTTAGGCCATTGTGATATATTCATCTGGAATTTATCACGATGGTTTCCAGGAGGAATCGCATGGAGGTAAACCTGACATGGTACATTACCAGCAATTAGACCACTAGTCCATATATACCATACCAATCATATATGTTCGCGCCTACAAAGTTCCATACAGCAATTTATTTTTTTTGGTTATTGTTTAATTATTCATAAAGGCGCTTATAAATAAAGGGTAGACAAATTATTACTTTGAAATTGAAGAGCAATGTCACTCAAACACTTTCTACTAGACAGCCATTACATTCGCATCCATCCATACAGTTATACACATTTTTATACAATCTTTAAACAAGTAAATTGTACATGAAGCAATAAATCTTATATTCAACAAAAAAAAAGAGTTTCTCTATACAACCATAAGAAGCTCCAGATGGCATCCTAGACAATATACAATACCATAACAATCTTATAAATTCCAGAAAAAAGTTTAAATGTCAAATAAAACAGTTCCTTTGCAAAAAAAGCTTACTATGCGTTCATGTTTTTATAGGCGACAATATTCTGAATACATTAATAAGACGCCGTCTATGTTGATTATCGCATGCCTCTTACTTGTTATACTGTAATTATTTATATCCTATTGTCACAAGTTTGACGATGAATCTGCTCGGTGATAGAATCAAAATATGACTATTCAAAAGTGCTTGTAATGGTTTAGCTCAGATGGCACCAATATACAATTACATCTCCTTTCCGTGTCCGATGGTTCAGTAAGACGCCGTCGGGTTCGATTCCTTTGTCTAAGTTTGACGGCCTCGGTGGTCTTGCAAACATTTGTATTGATTCCACAATCAAACATTGTATTGATTGATTGTTTGTATTGCTTACTGTTGCAGGTGGGATAATACGATGTTGCTGGTCGAGACGATGTATATTACAGATGATGATAAACTGACAATATGTACATAAAAATAATGATCTTATATACTAAATAAAAATAGGAAATTGTAAGGTGGGGTGACACAGTTTAGATACAGCAGTGCCTAGTAGACAATATTGAATTTGTCTTACTAGACATTATTAAATGCAATTATTATTTTATGTATCTAGGTGACTGTGTCCCATACTTACTAAATAACACAAATATAAGCTGTGCTTAATTTGGAACTAGATGGCGCTGTGTGTATTGTTCAGGGTAATTATAATTATGTTATCATACGCCAGTAGGACCAATTATGCGTTGTCAGTCCAGAGGTCTAACATATCATGTACCCTGAAATTTCACTGCCTATAAACTATATCTAAAAAAAGTAAGGTGTTTGCCACTATAATAGGCGACAGAGTTACCTAGACAACTTTATAACATTATAAACGCACCTGGGTAAATATATACAGATGGGACGGTCAGAGTCAACACTTTATGAGTTCGCATTATGGTAGGATATACATATATACGATACACATATATGTATACAATATACATATAGTTTCAAGGAAATCCAATGTTCAAAATTCATTATTTGGGTAACACACTATTTACTTAATTCTGTTTTTTTTGTGTCTTAATAAATAGAAATAGAAATAATATTTATTCAAATAAACTAAATATAAGCACTTTTGACTGGTCATATTTTCTATTCTACCACTCTTTCAGAACGTTAGGAACGTTCTTCTTACAAATGTGTTGGTAAAGCCAAATCCACTGTGGAATAGGTCTACAGCTTTAAGATTACTTTAATTTATTACCGATGTTACCATCACCGAAGAGTAAGTCGGAAGTATGTACACACAAAGTATTTTCGGTCGAGCAAATTCTAAGACACACCTGGGGGTCTGGGGGTCTAGGTCGATCCTACATTCAATTCAGAAAAAGCTCTGACTGTTATTTTTTTTTTATTTACACTACTATTATTAAAGACCTAAACTCAATACAATAGTGTATCTAATACTATATTATACATCTTCGTTAACTTACCATATAACATATAATGATGTTTTTGTGAATTCACACAGACTACCCACAAAACCTTTTTAAACTATCCAACACTGTATAGAATTTTCAGCAGTTGATGAATGGCTTAAATAGTAATGAAGGGTTGAGCTCTAAAGTAAAGTATGTATAAGAAATAAATTAATAAACAAAACAGATACGGTAAGTATAAAAAATAAAATAATTAAAAAAACAAAAGAAAATACTAACATTCCTGCATGTCCGGTACCTCAATAGCATCTGTGAATAGTCTACTTTGCTGACCTGGAATTTGTGGAGAAATAAAAAAATAAAATCTAGCAAACATGTAATAAAAAATATAATAAAAATGACAAGAATTGGCAATAAAAAAAGAACATAATACATACGAAAAAATAATGTGCAATGCTGTATATACCTATCATATTGGGCTATTAGTTTCTGATATGGTTACATATATGTAATGCTATATCAATAGCTATCATATTATACTAATGGGTTTCTATGTTTTTTATGAATTAGATACAGAAATTATCTTTAATCTAATAAACTTTTACAGTTATTTATTTAACTATACGGTAAATACAAAATTCAGTCCAGAAGAATACACAAGAAACTTGCCAGTTGCTCATTATCCTTTATTCCTGATTAGTTTTTTTAATTACATCTATTCAGTAGCCTTTCTATAAATTATTACTCCAAAAATTCATATCCTAAATATAGAGCAAAATATCTTATATTGGCAACACTAACCTCCAGATTTGCATATACTCAGAGTACAAAATACGAGTGATGATCATTTATTTATAATATGAAGTTTGGTATAGGGGTTCTAATTTCAAATTAAATTTCTCGTGTAATTTAGATCGTTTCCAGCTATTCATGACTTTCGAGATTGAGTACAACCTCATTATTCTATTACGAGAAACTTAAGTCAAATTTCAAACTCTTCGTAACTCGCGAGATTTAGTTCAACCTGATTACATCCTATTAGGAAAGTCTGAATTCAAATATTCTAAATAAGAGCCTAAAATTGTAAACAGGACTGTGTCGAGTGGTAGCTGTAATTACTACTCTACTACCATGCAAGAAGGTGATAAATAATGGAGTATAGAGACTTAAAATGCCTTACCATTGCCAACACCTGCTGGCGGCTCCTCAGTAGGCGTGCCTCCGGTGGACGCTGGTCTGCTATCGGCCCCACCAGTTGCACTACATCACATGACACATATATCAAAACATTGGTTAAAATTTATGAAACAGTAATCAAGATTATTATGAAGGAGGTATAACTCGCCGGCGGTGTTTTCATAGAAGTAATCTGCGAAACAGACGGAATGTTTCTACGCTTACTACTTGTGAAACAAGCTACGGATTTTGGTAGGGTTTGCACTATTGTTTCGAGGACTTCTTCCAGAATGTTCATGTGATAAATCGATATAAAACTCCTCCGGATATACTTTATATATTGGTGTTAAACCAAAATACGTCACAAGTGTTTAAGTAGACTCTCTTTGGATTTAGCCTCGCATTTGGGCCGTTGTGCGTGTAGAGTGGAAATTTGACTAAATTCATTAAACTATGCTAAGACTAAGCTCCTTCCTATAAATGGTTTTGATGGTTAACCTAAATTATCTTAGCTTCTAAATTTATTCTGACATGGATTTTGGAATGGCAAGATCTCCTAAAATTCAAGTTAGTCGGTGACGGAGTGAGAGGGATAGTCTCAGAATTGCGCACAAAATACATTCCAGATTGCTGTTTATATTTGAACCTACAACTAGTGCATCTTAAGAACTAGTAGTAATAGAAAGATCAACATTAATATTTATGGGTAAATGGCAAACTCTACACCGATGACGCTACACGTACGTATATAACAGCAAATAAAAATAAGACAATTTCTTTTTAAGTAATTAAAATGGCAACTGACCTAGTGGAGTTTTTTATTTGGGACTACTCTAATACTCTTGGCCGCAGATGGCCTTTACAGCTTCACCGGACAATAGGGGGCAAGTGCTGATGGCACTCAAAATCCACGCAAGGACTTATGGAGCGGCTGATGGCCAACTCCTATCTGACGGATACCACTTTAGACTGAGGTCACCGCTAGGTGTTCGAACCTCGGCTCAGACCGTTGTAATTCTGATTTTTTTGAATTGGACGGGGGATAGATCGCTGAGCCGTCGTAATTTCGATCCCCGTTTGAATAGAACGGAGAATCGATCGGAGCGGCTGATGGACTGATAGCTGTCGCTAATATATATGAGCAGCATCACGGACATCGTGTTATCATGTGGTGTCCTTGGTAACAAGCGTTGCCACTCCGGACGATCAAATATCTACCTCTATACCCTGTAAGTTCACTGTAATACCTCACATCCTACAACCGATTCACATCTTAAAATGATATATATTTTGAAAAGAGTAAGAGCTGACTTTTTGTTAGTTCTTAGCTCGAAAGCATTGTGAGCTGATGGTAGATTTGACATATCATAAGAGTCTGTAATAGACTTATATGAATAAAGCTATTTAGATTTGATTTGAATGGCTTGGCTTGTGTTCTAATAGGTGAGATAGGGACACACGTCGTAGACGTCTCTCTAAAGTCTTCTAAATTTATGATTTGGTATGTGTGACAAAGACAGCACAATTTATAGCGTCACCGGTGTATGTTATTCCTAATTATTTATGTTAACCTGGTAGGCTGATCTTACTCTAGTACCATTAATCAAGTAATCTAAATAATACTAATAGAAAATTTGAAAGATTTGCTTTTCTTGTCAGTTACAATAGTAAAAAACGGCGATAAAGACCTTATATAAAACGGGTATACGTACAAAGATTTCAGTCTAGCCATATGCATCAGATATTTCAAATATCAACACGGTAATAAATTTTATGAATATTATGTAGATGTTACAATAGTTTTTTATTGATTAAAAATGAATTGAGTTGGATCAGAAATACTTGTAACTTGACCTTGAACGTGATCAATAATGTTGAGTGTAACGAAAAAAAAAATGGAAAATGTATAAAACTCATTATTCCTGTGTACTCTTAAACCAAATTTCGATCAATGGAAATCGGAATGTCCATTTTGGCGTTTTTTGTCCTCTCGATAAATCGAAATATCGAAATCGGGATGTTCTTTTTGGCGTTTTGTGTACTCTTCTATTGCGCATCTTACTAATATTATAAACGTGAAAGTTTGTAAGTATAGATGGATGTTTGTTACTCTTTCACGCAAAAACTACTGAACGGATTTATATGAAACTTTACAGTAATATAGCTTATACAGATGGATGACTGTTGATCGAAGGTTGTGGTGTATCGGCGCTACCGTGGCAGATTACCGTCATCAGTGCCGTGAACACACAGACAATTTGTATTTTATAATATACTTATAATATAACAATATCATTCATATGTATGTTAGTCTGTAAGGTATTTATAATATGAGCCATTAGTAGCCTGAATTAATTAAATCTATACGTATAAATAAAATCGGAGTGTCTGTTTGTAATATTGAAATAACCGTTTTTTACTACATGCATATGAATATAAATACGATACAAACTCCAAAGTATCATTTTTTGTCATTTTTGTCTGTATGTCTGTTTGTTCCGGCTAATCTCTGAAATGGCTGGACTGATTCTGACGGTGCTTATTGGCAGGTAGCTGATATAGTAAGGAGTAACTCAGGCTACTTTTATTTTAGAAAAATACAATAAAATTCCACGCGGACGAAGTAGCAGGAACAGCTAGTAAATAATACAATTACTAATGTAATTATTTCACGTCTACTCCAGACTTTACACAGTATATCCTTTGGGGTTTCGCCTGTCAAAGCAGATACAAATAGACAACTATACCCGTCGTTTGTCCAACACAAACAATTGTTTGTGTTCACATCAAGTGGAGACAAAGGTGTAATTATTCCTCTGTGATTGTTCGGACATGTTGTAACATGTACCTAATGCAGACCAATTAATAATTATTCGCGTGTTCAAGCAATAAAAAAAGCTATCTCAATCGTTAGCGATTGATATATTGATGGATACTAAAAATACGCTTTAGTCAGGAGAATTCAAATACTACTCGTGGGTCCGCGGTTCACCTGCGTGAAATTTATAGCCTATACGTTATTCTGATGTATAAACTATATTACTGTAAAGTTTCATCGAAATCCGTTCAATAGTTTTTGCGTGAAAGAGTAACAAACATCCATCCATACTCACAAACTTGCGCGTTTATAACTTTAGTAAGATATATGAGTAGGATATATCTTACTATACATATATATAAGAAGGACCACCTTTCCTTTCAAACAATAAAAGAATAATCAAAATCGGTTCTCTTCGAAAAAAAGTTTTGCGATAACGCATAAATATAAAAAAACTACCAAATATTGCCGCGGCTCTATAATGTTATTCTTGTCTGTTTTATAACAACAAACCTTATTTGACGGCCTCGGTGGTCAGCGGTTTAGCACATTGCTTAAGTCCAGGTGGTAGCGGGTTCGATTCCTCGCACAGCACAAACATTTGTATTCATGAGTATGATTATTTGTATCGTATTTTTGTTTGGGTATTTACAACGTATATTATGTATGTATTTATAAAATAAATGTATCTATGTACGTATATCTGCTGTCCAGTACTCATAACACAATTTCTTATTTTGGGAATAGATGGTGCTGTGTAAGTTGTTCAGAGTCATTATTATTACATTTCAATACAATTGTTAAACATTTAAAACGACGGATATGCAATAAATATAAAATACAAAAACACAGTAGACAAAAAAATTAAAACAACAGTTTTTAATTCAATCACGAATTTAAGAGAATATATCTGATGCATGTGACTGTACCGAAAGATTGATTGAAAACATACAATAGGATGCACAACAATGATAAATAAAAAATGGGGTTTGAGCAGAATAAATGAGTTTAAAAACTCGGTGTGTGCTTCTAGAAGATTATTGAAAAAAAAAAATACAGCGCTTACACACAATTAAAAATAGTTCAAACACTGGCAATACTCTGTAATTGGCAACATTATTACAAATATTAAACACTACATGTAGTTGTTAACCGGGTTTTAACACGAACAATTTTATGGTAAATAAAGGTATTTACCTTTCGACGTTTCGACTTGCACTAGCCGTGGTCACGAGCTGACTGAATCAAATATCTCAATTTTAAAAGAGGATGACTTAAAATTATCAACTCGTGAAAACCCAATCATAAATAGATTCAAAATTCAGTAGCATCAACAGTCAATAAGTGTACGGATACCGTGAGTGCTGTGTTTTGCGATTTTTCATCAATTTAATGACGGTAGTAGAAAAAACTGCCGGCACCTATCAACATTGAGATCACCGTTACTCCAGTCAGCGAGTGACCACGGCTAGTGCTAGTCGTAACGTCGCGTCGTGAGAGGTAAATACCTTTATTTACCATAAAATTATTTACGTTAAAACAGTTTAATTACATTAATAATATAAATAATGAAAGTTTAACTACATGTAGATTCTGTTTGTAATTTAAACCATTGTGCGTAAGCGCCTTACGACTAACGAATTAAAAGAAAACGAATATCACTTCCTTTGCCTTAATGAAAATAGTGAGTTACATATGTTTTTTATAATTAAATATCTAGTGAGTAATGCATGAAAAAGTGAGTGGATTTTGTTAGGTTATAGTAAAATAAGTACTTATTTAATAATCATCAAAAATGTTATTGAATAAAATAATGTATAATGAGAATTCGTGAAAAGCAAAACCCCATGCACATACAGATGAAATAATGAAAAAAAATCTGTATAATACTTTAATAAAAACTTTAAAAATTTCGTTTAGTTTTTTCATTGAGCCAACACGTTCAAAGAAAAAAATATATAATTAATTTGTCATTATTTGTTGGTTCCTGAAGCTTATAGAGAATTGGAGAAAATGAAGAATCTGATTCTCAGCAATCGTAAAAAAAGTAAACACAAAACCCACATAAAACCAGACGTTTCGTTATGTTAGTACTTTTTAGGCCACTTTGGTTTCGAGACACGTTTACGACCAGTCTTCTTTATATGACTAGACTTTTTATATACTTTTACAATTTATTAGGGTGTTTGCAGGCGACGGACAACCAACATACATATATGTATACTAGCTGTTAGCTGCGGCTTCATACGAGTGGAATTTAACTTTTTTTATTTAACTAAATAACATAATTGAAATTTTAAGAAGTTTAAGTTATCTTTATAGCATTAGATATCTGCGAGTAAAAGTCCCGTCAAAAACAGTTCAGAGATTAGCAAAAACAAACAGACGGACAGATAAAAAAAATTATGGCACCACATGATATTAAATTAATTTCCAAATAAAAAAAAGAAATTGACAAAATCATAATATAAATTACAGTGGTAACTCGCAAAATATTCCATTTTAATACAATTTAATCGGTGTTTGTTTTTCTGTCTGTCCTTATTCCAATAGGTACCTAAAATGTCAGATAGTATCAAAATGTATATATAATTTTCATATTCATAATTTTCACATCAATTTCCAAATAAAAAAAAATATATATCAGAATCAAAATAAATAAATACAGTTGTAATTCGCCATAATATTCCATTTTAATTGGTGTTTGTTTTTCTGTCTGTCCTTATACCATTCGACATTTAAAAAGTCGGGGAACCCTATTTATCGGCCTCGAAAGCTTATCGGCCCGTTTTTTAAATTAAGCTCAGCGATTCAATGTATTTTTTATTTGTAACTAGAGACGAAAACGGAATAATAAAAAATTGTAATCTGTTTGATTTATTTTGTTTTCGAGATAATATGAAAGCTTGCAATTGGGAAAGCGATTTATAAGGGCCGGCACTAGTTATCGGGACACGATTTATTTTATTAAAAAAGGATTTTATTATATTTCATAATATATTTTTTTATAACACAGGGGACAAACAAGCATGCGGCTCACCTGATGGTAAGTGATCACCGCAGCCCATGAGCACCCGCAACGCTAAGGGAATTGCAAGTATGTTGTCGGCTTTTTAAAAAGGACTGATGGTAAGTGATCACCGCAGCCCATGAGCACCCACAACGCTAAGGGAATTGCAAGTATGTTGTCGGCCTTTTAAAAAGGACTGATGGTAAGTGATCACCGCAGCCCATGAGCACTCGCAACGCTAAGGGAATTGCAAGTATGTTGTCTTTTAAAAAGGAGAAGCGAATGAGCACTCGCAACGCTAAGGGAATTGCAAGTATGTTGTCGGCCTTTTAAAAAGGACTGATGGTAAGTGATCACCGCAGCCCATGAGCACTCGCAACGCTAAGGGAATTGCAAGTATGTTGTCGGCCTTTTAAAAAGGAATAAGCTCTTTACTTAAAAGTTTCAATATCGTATCGTTCGGAAATACCATTGCTGGAAGGTGATTCCACAATTACATTGTGCGTGGCAAAAAGTTTCTAGAAAACCGCACTGTGGAGGACCGCCATTCATCCAGATGATCAGGATGGTATTTTAGTTTCTGGCGGGTGGTACGGTGGTGAAACTCAGCAGCTGGCATCCAGCATTAATCCATAATCCATATTTCATAATATATTTTCTATGTATATACTTTTAAACGGGTCATAATGAAATAGTGCACCCAACTGCACTAATAGTATAGCTGGTGCCCCAGTGGAGGATGATAAAATGAGAATGAAGTCAGATCAGTTAGCCCATCTTGGCAAATGGTAATTTACCACAATGGTTTCCAGGGGAAACCGCCTGGAAGTCAATCTAACATGGTACATTGTACATTACAGTGCTAGCAATGGCGTTACTATTCCACATGTATAATTCGCTTCCAAGAGCTGACATTGTGCTCATACATCACCCTACTTTGTTTGCCAGACTACATCCTTAGTGCTAGCAAGTGCAACCTTCGTTTAAAAAGGGGGCAATAAGAGACCAGTACATTATATCAAGCAGATAAAGAAAAAATTAGAATCGTGTCGTATCAACACTTAAAGAGAATGCCGGAAGGCAGTAAGTAGCAAGAGCTCAGTCGAAAAGAGGAAATCTTAAATTATGAATGAATGAGAATTTACCGTAACACGACGAAGGAAGGGTGAGACAATGTCGTTTAAATATAGAGTAATAAGTATCTTGAGATTGTTAAAATAAGGTTTTAATTGCTTTATTGCCAATTAAAATGCCGTTCCGAACCATTGAGGCATTATGGTTTCAAGTTACTAGATAAGACATCGAACAATCGACAATCGACGTGACGAAAAATATGATTCGATTTTCAGATTTATTTATGTAGCAGGCAAGGCAATAGGTTTCTTTTTGTAAAAAGCACCGATACGATAATAAATACTGTGTAAAAAATAGTATTCTCGACCGATCGCTTCTACAGATAGTAAATAAATAGTTGACAGTTTAATTTACTAAAACTAAGGTTTATTTTATGCAGATCACTATTTTACTATAAAAATGTTTGAATAATTACGGCCAGGTCAAGTGCGGTATACCTATTTATTTATTTATACGTCCGAAACAATTAAATTCTGTAGAATAACATACAAGGTCTAAAACAATAGTGACTTCAACAGTAAATTTTAATATGTCAGCAAGCAAGTGAAGACAACTGAAGTCTTTATGGCCATCATTATATTATTAGGTGCAAGATAGGTGTCTCCCCGCGGCGCACCTGGAAACAGCTAGACAGTTTCTAGGCTAGCCAATTCTCTCACCGCAATGGCAACTCAAATCATCATTATAATAATCATCGTATATCTAGTACCTTTTCATCGAATACCTCAATGTCCCTACCGTCCCGATTGTTAGAGCCGAACCTTACCATTTGTGAAGCTGTTATGAGCAGGCATGTGTATTTGTTCTTTAATTAGTATCAAGGCTGTGCAATGTTGTTTCAATTAGAAAAAAACACACCAACTGCGAAGCATAATACGCGAACTCATTTCATCTGCCCCACCCCGCGTACCTATTATACCTAGAGTTATCGTCATCGTCCTTCCCTTCTGGCTTCGGTTCCTCGACGGGTTCAACTGGCACCGGCTCAGGTTCTGGTGGTGGCGCCTCGTTTTTCCTCAGCCCAGGAATGGGGATCCCGGAACCCAACCATCCCGTCATTTGTGATTTGACGTTGGTGATGAGGTCCAGTTTACTGGCGCCTTTCGTTGGACTGCAACAAAGGGATTTTATATTAAAATACGAAATTGAATAAAATACATAGTTGAGTGTCATGGTTTTCTAGTCAACTTAACATACCAGTCGTGATTTTTTTTTTATACTAATTTGGTGGCAGACAAGCATATTGTCTATCTGATGGTAAATGATTACCATAGCCTGAAACACCAGGGGTGTGATTACATGTTGCTGACCAAAATTCGACACTGGATGCTCAGAAAACCTTACAAATGATATTTCTGACTGAAATGAACAATGGTCACAGCTATAAATCTATTGTGATATTTCTGTGGAGAGAATCAAGAGACAACCTTTTGTTTGAAGATCCACCAAGTTATAGTCCACTGCACTCCCTGAAGAGCTGTCGCCAACAGTGTTGGTCGGCAGTAGACTAGTATCTCCATGATGCTTAACTCCATTTGGCATCAAATTTGCAGTATCAGTCATGGTGTTTCAAACAGGAATATAAGCAAGAAGATTAAGCATAGGTGTCTGTATGCAATAGCTTAGGGGCTATTCTAAACAATGTTACACCAATTTAAGTAATTTTTTGATGTTTATAAATATATAATAGTAATTCATTGTTACACAATGTGGGACTATGTCAAACTCCACTCCCCTCTCCTCTAATTATGTAATAAGTGTAACATATTTTGGTCTTAACAGTTTATCTATTTTTTTGTTAAACCCTATATCTTATTGTTATCAATATATAATATAAAACAGGATATTTCTAAGCTTAAAAAATAAAATATTTTTAAAATAAAAAAAATATGACTTTCACAGATCACACAACAACACCATCTAGTCAAAAACTTGTGCATATGCTAAATAATATTTACCATATTTATTATAATTTTGAAATTACATTTATTGAAATTATTTTTTAATACACAACTTAATTTTATTTAAATAACCACACAGTTGTATTTTAGATTAAAGATATTGATTTTTTAAAAAGTGTGATAATGTACAAATGTACAAATCAACTATTTAAAAACATATATCTTTTATACAAATATAAGAATTTTAGTGAAATGAATTATATTTATTCTAACACTTATTGCAATAATATGTATGTAGAAATTTTTAATATTAAGATTTCTTTTGGTTTTCAAAAGCTTTTGTATTAGTATTATGTTTTTATGTATGCAGATGAGATTATATGCATATCTGCATCAGTGACCTATATAAGAGTCGCGCCTTAAGAATCAATACCAAGTTTCATAACAATGTGAAATCTAAATCTTAGTTTATATTCTTAGAAAAGCACATAAACATTTTTACATTACAATTTCAAGAGAAATGTTTAATGTTGCTATCCTTTTCGTATATGTACAGCAAATTTTACAATATATCTATATTACATACACAATAAAAATGTAAACAAAGAATCAATAACCGAGTACCTTTGTCTTTCACCTTCCGCCGAGGCTTCTCCGGTTGCGTCTTTGGTTGGGGTGGGGACCTCCTCATCCTGAGGCTCGCCCTTCGCGGCCCCCATCCACGAGCTGACCTGATTCGTAAGCCCTGAAAACATTATCACTGACACTAGCTAAATCAACACACAGCACAATCACTCAGCGATTTCACAACGCTGCGACAGTTTCGCACATGACACACGACGCGGACAGTCTGCGATGCGGCTACGGAAAGCGTGATCAGCTGAAAAACTAAATGCAAAACCAGAATCGACCAGGAAACTGAAGAGTTCACTGCGCATGAAAACTTGCGCTCATGCGTTATTTGCTTCGATAGATGTAGTATTTTCATCAGTTCGGGTACTATAACAGCCAAATATGTACTTTATCGCAAAGTAATAAGACTGTTTTTTGTTCGTGAGGGCAAACGTCAGAACGACATTATGTCCAGCTGTCAAATTCGTTTAGTTACTTCAGAATTTAATATCAAACATTACTAAGACTAATACTTCATGAAACGAATATTTTTGAAGTTTAGTTGATAGATTTTTATGGAAAACGTTAGAGTTGGAGGCATAATCTTTTAATACACAATAACAAATAATCTATCTATATTTTGTGTATAATTGGAAGCAACTAATTTAAACAAATACTAGAATATGTACTTTATTTGTTCACATAATATTGTTTTTTTTTTATAAATAAAAAAATAGGAATATGATAATGAATTAAGGAAATGTGAACCAGTGTTTTTTATGCACATATCTCATCACTATTGGAATTAAAAAAATATTTATAGTGTTGCCAATTTAATACTACTCTTTACGGTTCTTCATGAATAAATAAATGGCGCAATGAATTAGACGAATAGGAAAAGGGCATTTAGCTTCAAATTATTCAGATTTGTGGAAATTAAAAAAAGAGCAAATATTTCTTAAAAAGATTTAAATCCTATAGGCAATTATGTTGTATAATATGGTTTTGTACATATCTTTACAAAATGTTCTATTTTTTTTAAAACTACACGTGCTAAATAATGAATAATTAAACGTATGATATACCTTGATTTTTAAATTAAGACCGATCTTAGAGATTGTTTATATGATTAGCTTGAAAAACTTACATTGAGTGGGCAACATTCAATATGTCATTTTTCGTTGAATAGAATTTGCTTGCTGAATTATTTGTTTCTTCTGAATTTTGCTATACTCCTATTGTTTAATATTTAACAAAACAAATGTAGTGATACGTAGTCTGTGAAACTTATTACGGTATTCTTAATTTCACCGTCAATATAAAAAGGCGTAATATTTACCAATATGACGGATACACATAGACAACTTCGCCTTGGAAAATGCATTGAGGATTTGGACAAATTGCACAATGTACCTGAACTTAAGACGAAAAGAGCCAAGATGTAAGTGGAGCACAGTTTATTATGTATATATAATTTATGACGACTTTAATTATATATAAGTCACCAAATCCACATATAAGTAGCACAATTTGGCTTTGAGTATCAGTATTTGAATGCTTTATTCAAATTTGTTAAATCTGATACATGTCACACAAATAATACATACTTACTTATTTATTCGAAAAGTATTGTAATAATGTCGATAATTATCGTAGAAGATATCCAAATGACCTGATATTGCCTATAATGTTAACGGACCTATATAAAAGAAGATGTTATTGAATGGCTATTCGGATATACAACAAATTAAATAAAGGAATTGCCATCGACACAATTTAAAATACAATTATTTAATTTATTACTTGACAAATGTTACTATACAATAAGTGATTATATAAACAATGTTGAACTATGATTATTAGAAAACATAATATATTGACAATACAAACTTGACATAACTTTTAACATTCGTAATTAATATATGACAGTTTTATAAAAATAAATTTTATTACTTTTATAATAATAATAAATTATACATTTATTATTATTGTAATTTTATTATTATTATTATTATTATTTTTACTCTTGACTTTCGCTGGTAATCTTGGTATGTACGAGCCTAAGCTAAATTATAAATTTAAAATATATTAATTATTATTATTATTATATGTAACTTTAATTAAATTGTATAAAGAATAGTAATAGATTAATTCTAATATGTATTTGTATGTCCGTAAAGACTAAAAGTGAGAGCTATATAACATAAATAACCATACCATCAAACAAATAAATTACATTTTATTTAGTTTCATTTCATTTCAATAGTATAATTACACTAAATTAATATTATAAAAAAGAAATGTTTAAGATTGTTGCTCAGTAAACAATGTAGGGAAAAATACTTGATTGATTTTATGAATTCTATGACCTGTAGAAAGGATTTTATTTACAAACAAAATGGGGATTTCAACAGTAATTGCACTTAAATAAAATTCAGACAGTTTGCTAGTTGAGTATAAATTAATTAAAATATAATAGTGAAATTTTATCTATACATACATATAAAAAAATTGGAGTGTTTGTTTGTAATATCGAAATAACCATTTTTTACTACATGCATATGAATATAAATATGGTACACCAAAATAAAATTTTTTACAATTCTGTTCCGTCTGTCTGTCTGTTTGTTCCGGCTAATCTCTGAAATGGCTGGACCGATTTTGACGGGACTTTTTTTGGCTGGTAGCTAATGTAATAAGGAATAACATAAGTTACTTTTATTTTAGAAAAATAAAGTTAAATTCCAGGTGGACTAAGTCACGGAAACGGCTAGTATATTATATAAATAAGTTATCAGTCATATTTAAGTAGCGACTTTATTCTGTCTACCTCACAAAGGAAGACTGATAATCTGTAAAAATATATTATCTAATTATATTTGGTTTATTACATTAAAGTTTATTTTTATTCATTCATGATTTTTTTTCTTTCTTTTTAAAGTTAATATTTATGTAATTTAAATTTTCTGGATTTCCCTTATTAATATTTCGGGAAACTGTTAAATATACAATGTAAAATAAAACTAATCCATTCATTATATACTATTTCAATTTTATTATAAAACATATATACAAATCTACAAATGTGTTTGTAATAAAATAAAACATAACTTAATTTTAATAGACAAGCACAAAAATGGTTAATTTTATATGTTGTAACAGTTGCATAGTCAAAGCAATAATGGTCTCTGTCATATTCATAAGAAAGGCCATATGCAAGAGCAGTCGATATAGTTTTTATGACCTGCACTTCATAATAGGACTAACTACTACTACAGTCCAGTCCAGTCCAGGGGTACCTGGACAATTCACACAGTGCCTAATCCTAACAAATTACAAATTACATTCAAATTAAAAAATAATTTATTTATGTATGACATTTTAGTCCCTTATGAACATTGAATTTTTTTATATTATAATTTTTTCCTTACTGTCCAGTAAAATATATAGATTCAATGAAGAACTAGTAAGAAACTCAATGGAATTACATTATTTTTAAAAAGCCAGTTTATTTATAATGTTCACATATTTTTTTTAATATATAGATTCAATGAAGAACTAGCAAGAAACTAAATTGAATTTCATTTTTTTTTAAAAGCCAGTTGTGTTATAATGTTTACTTATTTTTTTTTAATTTATAGATTCAATAAAGAACTAGCAAGAAACTCAATTCAATTTCATTTTTTTTAAATGCCAGATTATTTATAATGTTCACTTATTTTTTTTAATATATAGATTCAATGAAGAACTAGCAAGAAACTAAATTGAATTACATTATTTTTAAAAAGCCAGTTTATTTATAATGTTTCCTTATTTTTTTAATTATATAGATTCAATGAAGAACTAGCAAGAAACTAAATTGAATTTAATTTTTTTTAAAAGCCAGTTGATTTATAATGTTTACTTATTTTGTTTTAATATATAGATTCAATGAAGAACTAGCAAGAAACTAAATTGAATTTAATTTTTTTTAAAAGCCAGTTGATTTATAATGTTTACTTATTTTGTTTTAATATATAGATTCAATGAAGAACTAGCAAGAAACTAAATTGAATTACATTATTTTTAAAAAGCCAGTTTATTTATTTAGGTATCTTACTTATATAGGTGTGTAATACTAAATGAAAATCCTGTGCATGAACAACTGGTGTTGCTTGTCATTCAAGCACTTAATCATTTAGTGAGTAATAGGCTTTACTCAGTAAATATGATTGAAAGTTTTATATTACTGTGTGTAAGCACCTTAGCTTACTTTTTCTGACTATTTTTTTTTTATTTCTGACTAACCCTGTTACTTCTTTTGTAGTCTATGCAATACAGCACAGAAACTATTTGAGACTGCAGAGGAGGCCCGGGTGAATGGTGATGAGGAATCTTCATATGTTTACTACATGAAGTACCTCCGAGTTATCGCATACATAAGTAAGGACAAAGAGTATTTGAAGGAGAAAACGTATTTTAACAGTCTGCTCGGTACAAAGAATCCAAACAAAGCTATTGATGCTGCTGAGAAGCTGAAGAGTAGCTTGATCGACAGGTAATAAATTTATCTTAGTTTATTTATGTATATATACTAGTGACTCGTCCAGGTTTCGCACGGTATGCCTGTACATCTATACATATAAATAAAATTGGAGTGTCTGTTTGTAATATTGAACTAACCGTTTTTTACTACATGCATATGAATATAAATACGGTACGTATACCTAAATAACATTTGTTTGTTCCGGCTAATCTCTGAAAGTTAAATTCCACGCGAATGAAGTCGCGGGAAAATGTAGTATTTAATATAATACGACATAATAATTATGGACACTTCACACAGTGCATCTACTTCCAAGCTAATCAGAACTTGCGTTTTGGGTACTAGACAACTGGTACAAATACTATTGTGAAGGACTGTATATATATATATATATATATATGGGGCTGGTATATATAATTATGCAAACACGGGTTTTAGGAAGCAATAATATAATATAATAATACTAATATACAATAATATACAAAAGTATAATAATTAGCAGAACAAGAACTGACAATGTCATATATATTTTTCTATATAAATCAATAGACAAAATACATAAATAATTTACAAAGAGGTGCATCGTGCATAACTATTAATATATATATATTTTGTTTCCTATGCATAATATGCATAGAAAACACCAGACCAATACAAACAATCATATTCATCAATAAAAATGTTTGTACCGTGCAAGAATCAACCCCGCGACCGTCTGAAGGAAGGTGTGTTAAATTGCTAGACCACCTGAGGTCGTATATAAAATTGTCGTTAAGAAAATTAGTAATAAAGATGAATCTGTTATATGTTTTTTTTTCAGATATGCCAAAGAGAAGAAAGCGAAAAGATTGAATGATATAAAGGAGAATGAGTTATTCAAACAAAATATAGAAGAGAACAGAAAGAAACACATGGAGATAGTCACAATCAATGAACCACCAGTTTCAGGATTACCAGGTCAGGATTAACTTCAGGTTTAACACACCACATAGGAGAGTAATATATAATTACTCTCCTATGTGGTGTGTTATATAGTATTCGCCTTTATGGTGGCCTCATGACCATCGTAACGTGCTGTCCACACCACCTTGGTTCCGACAGTCGCGGGTGCGATTCCTCGCACGATATATTTGTTTGAATATGATTTTTATCTATATGGGTGTCATCTATGTCTATATATATTTACCTAATAAATGTATCTATGTATTTATATCAGTTGTTCAGTACCCATTAGACGAGCTCTGCTTAGCTTGGGACTATATATATATATATTATATCCTTATTTTTTTTGTCATCTAAATATATATAACTCAAAGGTGACTGACATAGTGATCTATCAACGCACAGCCCAAACCACTGAACGAATCGGACTGAAGTTTGGCATGCAGGTAGATGTTATGAGGATTTTGATTAATTCTACCCTTAAGGGGATAAAATAGGGGATGAAAGTTTGTATGAAACTTTGTCAATTTTGAACCGATCGGGCTGAGACTTTGCAAGCTTAAATCTTGAAATACTATGACGTAGGCATCCCCTTAGAAAGAATTTTGATAAATTCCACCCCTAAGGGGATAAATTAACACGAGCGAAGCCACGGGCACAAGCTAGTTTATACATATACTAGCTGTGCTCGCGGTTTCAACCGCATGAAATTTATAGTCTATATGTTATTCCGATGTATAAGCTATATTACTGTAATGTTTCATCAAAATCCGTTCATTAGTAAGTATGTATGTATTTGGATATATATATTTCAATTTATGAATTTAATTATAATTGTACCTACTTCCTTTTATTATTTATTTCAAGTTATTCACTTAAATGCACCCACTAATCTCTGTCTGCCCTATGGTCGACTGGAAGGAAATGCCTTATGGTGTTAAGTCAGCCATAGGCAACTTTTTTTTTTGTATTTGTGCATTAAGTTTTTATAAATAAAAAATTAATTAGTTTTTGCGTGAAAGAGTAACTAACATCAAACTTTCGCGTTTATAATATTATTAAGATTACGTGAATTAGATGATGTAATTATTATCTTTTTATATATATATATATATTATAATTATATAACAATGAAACCATTCTCCTCTCTTTTCTCTTCTCTTCTCTCTCGCTTCCTGTACCCAACAGGGTCCATAATGGATCTATTTTGAATTTATCTACCTACCAACTGTTTACTTACAAACTTTCCCCCCCTCTGATCGATCCCCCGTCCAATTCAAACGGGGATCGAAATTACGACGGCCTGAGCCGAGGTTCGAACCCCTAGTGGTGCCCTCAGACTAAAGTCGTATCCGTCGGGCAGGAGTTGGCCTTCAGCCGCTCCATAAGTCCTTCCGCGGGTTTGGAGTGCCATCTGCACTCGCCCCATAACATCCGGTGAAGCTGTAAAGGCCAGCTACGGCCAACAGCATTAGAGTAGTCCGAAAAAAAAAAAAAAACAAACTTTCCCGTTTATAATATTATTATTAAGATTAAGATTATAACTCTCTGGTGTTGTAATCACTGCTAACAATCCCATTCCTCCAGGTCCTGATGAGGTCACGATCAAGAGTGAGCAGCTGTATGCGATACTGAAGAGTGGTAAACACAAAGTGATGATACTAGACGTGAGACCTGGCAGTGCGTACATTGAATCCCATATTGATTACAACATGTGTATCAGTGTACCGGAAGAATGTATATCACCAGGGTGAGATATGTTTTTTTTTAAGTTGTCTGTCTATCTATGGGGTGAGATGTTTGTAGTTGGCGTGGAAGGATCTCTATCCTTTGTCAAGGTCACTATATTTCAATTAGCTATATATCTTTCACCTAGTTTCAGGATATTTGGATGGTAAGATGAGAATGATTTCAGGTCAGTTAGCACATCGTGACAATTTCAGTAACTTATAATAATATAATAATAATCTCAGGACAATTCACACAGCGCCATCTAGACCCAAGGTAAGCTAACTAAACCTTGTGTTATGGGTACTAGAGAACTGATACATAGATTTGTTTTGCAAATAGATAATATACATAGGCAACACCCAAACTGATACAAATAATCATACTCATGAATACAATAGTGTTGCCGTGCGAGGAATCGAACCCGCGACCATCGGAAGTAAGGTGGTGTGCTAAACCGCTAGTCCACCGAGGCCGTCCTAGTAGAACTATTCTTCTTAAATCGAGTTTATTTTAGAGCTGACAAGTCTCTATCGTCGAAAGTTGTTGCTGATCTGCAGCTGACTCAGCAAGAATAGAATAGAATAGAAAATCATTTATTCAAATAAACTTAATTTAAGCACACAAGACAAGTAATATCCAAAAATATTTTTTTTGAGGTGGGCAACCCTTATCGGGATCGGATATCATTTTTCGTAAAGGTTAACCCTAGATATATGAATACTAAACGTAGCCCAGACACAAAATCATTATTTTTTATTATTGTGGATGTATTTAGAAAAAACAATTGTATTTAAGTATTGATATAAATACTTGTCCGTTGTACGTTGTCCCATAACATAAATTGTGCTTAGTTTGAAACCCTAAAGGCGCTATTCAAACTCAAATTAAAAAATCTTTTATTCATGTAGGACATTTTAGCCGCTTATGAACGTCAAATTTTTACATTCTAATTTAATTTTTTTTCCCTACCGTCCAGTATGTGTTTATTGTCTATATGCGCTATTTTCCAGGGTCTTTTCAGGGTATCTATACATCTATACATATAAATAAAATTGGAGTGTCTGTTTGTAATATTGAAATAACCGTTTTTTATTACATGCATATAAGTATAAATACGGAACATACACCAGAATAACATTATTTTAAAAATTTTATCTGTGTCTGTTTGTTCTGGTTAATCTCTGAAATGGCTGGACCGATTTTGACGGGACTTTTCTTGGCAGGTAGCTTATGTAATAAGGACTTACTCAGGCTACTGTTATTTTAGAAAAAAATCTTTTGTTTGTGCGAAGTCGCGGGAATAGCTAGTTATTAATAAATTTGAAATATTTTTCAGTCAATCAGCGCATGTTTTGGAGCAGAACCTTCCGTCTGCTTCCAAGGAGGTGTGGGCTGAACGCGCCACCATGAAGTTGATCGTGATCCTGGATTGGAACAGCACTGAAGTCATACCAGGGAAAACCTTACATCTCCTCAAGACTATATTGCTCAAGGTAAGCTTTGGCTACTCAATTCAATTCAAAAATCATTTATTCATTTTAGTAGCTTATAAAAGTCAATTTTTTTTATATTATATTTTTTTTCTCTACCGTCCTGAATTTCATCATCGCACTACCCCCCAGAAACTAAAATATCATCCCGATCATCTGGATGATCTGCGGTCCTCTACCGTGCAGTTTTCCAGAAAATGTTTGCCACTGTGAATCTGTCTGCCCATAAAAAATATTTACCATTTACCCGCTGCTCTTCAGTTTACCCGTAATCCCCGAAATATCGGGGACCCAATAAAAAAAAATGTAGGGTGTGGACCCTACATTTTTTTTTATTGGGTCCGTGGTGAAATCAGTGGTGATTTTTCCTAATGGTATATATAAACAATGGATGCGAGAAGCGCAGGATCGAACGTCGTGGAGATCTTTGGGGGAGGCGTTTGTCCAGCAGTGGACGTCTTCCGGCCTATCTCAGACCTCAGATGATGATGAAATAATTACCGCGTCAAATTTAAAACAATATATAAGGATATTTATTTTATTTTAAAACTACAAAATGCTGGCTGATGAAACTAAATTATGACGAAACAGAACAAATACTTCCACCTTACGGCTAACACACAGTTCTGCAAATTGAACACACACACACACACACACACACACATATATTCATACATACACTCTCTCATTCACACCAATGCTCACCTTTTCGATTATACATCCACAAATTTATTCCCTACATTTTACACACAAGTCCCATAGCTATTAACACAAAGGGTAAACATGTAAAATGAACACAATAATAAGTCACTCCAGTCTCTACAATACAGGCCTGCGAGCCTAGTGTAGAACTACAGTAAATTAAAATGTAAATGTGTATCATGAATAAATATTATTATTATTATTATTATTATTTTCCATCGCACTGCTCACCATCGGTGACAGGATTCATCCCCACACGCTAGAACCTAAGTGGTCTCGGACAGTGCGGTTTCAGAGGAGCTTCCTCCCGCGTACACTTAGATTGTGGAATGAACTACCTGCTGAGGTTTTCTCACGAGACTATAGCATGGGGTTTTTCAAAGGTATATTCAGGTTTCTAAAGGGTCGGTAATGCGCATTACACCCCTGGTGTCTCAGGCGTCCATAGGCTACGGTAACCATTCACCATCAGATGGGTCGTATGCTAACATCAATTCTTACTAATATTATAAATGCGAAAGTAGCTCTGTCTGTCTGTCTCGCTTTCACGCCTAAACCACTGAGCCGATTTCAATGAAATTTGGTACACAGATAGTCTAGACCCTGACAAAGGACATTGGCTACTTTTTAATGTGAAAAAGGGTTGCAAGGGGTTGAAACGGAATATGAAAGGTTATATGGAAGTATCGTCATTTTATGCGGACGAAGTCGCGGGCGCACCTACTAGTATATATATTTTTTTATTTTGATTTTCAGTGGGATGTGAAAGTCCACTATGCTCGACCGCCAGTGGCTCTCAAAGGTGGCTATGAGGATTGGCTGCTCAAATACCCGGCGTTCACTACCAACCCACAAGCAGTGCCGCCCAGGCAGGAGGAGTTCCTTGATGATATGCTTAGTAAGTTAACAATAACTGTTTGTAGATATGACGGCCTCGGTGGTTTACCAGTCGGGGGTTCGATTCCTTGCACGGTACGAACAGTTGTGTTCCAGAGTATGATTGTTTGTATCACTCATGTATAGAAAAAATTGTAATTATTTATTTATATTTTTTATTGCACCAAATATAAAAAATAACTAATTTATCGCTTATCGCGAAGAAATCTCTTCCAGACTACCTTTGGGTGGATAGAGAAAGTAAAGATAACATGTATCTATATATATCTATAGCATGTTATCTTTAGGTGGGTTAGGTGGTGTCTGAGATACAGGCTAGGCCTAGTTTAGACACTACTGCACTGGACTTGATATTAAATAGTTTTAAGAACTATTGTATATATATGAATTAATATAGATATATAACCTTAGTTAAGTCCCTTTTGTATTTGTTTTATTGCACAATAAAGTTATTATTATTATTATTATTATTTAATATTAAACTTTCGTGTTTAATATACATTTAAATTATTAACCGGGTCTTAACACGAATAATTTTATGGCAAATAAAGGTATTTACCTCTCTCGACGTTTCGACTAGGTTGCAAAAGCCGTGGTCACGAGCTGACTTAAGTAACAGCGATGTCAATGTAGATAGGTGACAGCAGTTTTTTCTTCATCTACCGTCACTAGATTGTTTAACGAAAATTCGCGACACACAGCACTCACACACACACACACACACAGCACATTATTATTATTATCTATATATTATATTAGAATATTAATTATCTAGTACCCATAACACAAGCTCTGCTTTCCACGAGACTAGTTGGCGCTGTCTGAATTTTTTAGCGATTATTATACTAGTTGTGCCCGCGGTTTCACTTGCGTGCACAAATTTCAATAAAAAATATAGCCTATGCGTTATTCTGATTCATAAGGTATATTACTGTAAAGTTTCATCAAAATCCGTTCAGTAGTTTTTGCAAAAAAAAAATAACAAAACTCCATACTCACAAACTTTTACGTTTATAATATTAATTAAGAGTTACTTATGTCAAATTTGCTATTTGGTAGTTAATATTGACACAAAATTCTGAATATTTATTTAAAACAGCAACACTCAGGTTTCATTTTGTTTCTACTTGTGATGAGTCTGCGTTTCGAATGAGTGGTAGAGTCAAAATATGACTTCAAAAGTTACCGTTGCCATTTACCAGTCCTGTATATTTAGCAAAATAAAGTGATTTATTGATAGATTGAGTGATTGATAAGTTTATTTGAATAAAGATTGTTTCAACTGTATCACATAAAAATCATCATCATCTACTTCTTCCTTATCCCATTTATTTGTGGTCGTCGTAATATGTTTTTCGCTTCCATTCATCCCTGTTCGCAGTCATCGCGTTATTTACTTCCTTTCTTACCTTATCATCTATCACACAGTCCATCCATCTCTTTTTCGGCCTTCCTCTGCCCTTATAACCATCCACATTCATATGTAACACCTTTCTTAAAATATCCTCATTCCTACGCATTACATATCCATACCATGATAGACGACTCTTCAACCTCTCCGACACCGGCGCCAGTTTCGTACTTCTTCTAATGTATTCATTCTTTATCTTATCCATTCTTGTCACACCACACATCACATAAATAATATACTGTATTAAAAATTTGTTCACAGGTGAAATTGACTACCCGAACTGGTCTGATCTAGTTCCAGTGACGCCGCCATCCAAACCCAAACAGATCCAAGCCAAGCCAGGTGAACCAATGATCGACCGGGCTAGTAAGGTAACATTTTCATGAATGTACTCCTGTACTATATTTTTAAACATATGCTCTAATCTCTAATTCTATAATCTGTTTTTAATATGGGAGACAAATTTGACATTATCAATGGCTCTAATGGGAATTAATATTAATTACACATTTTTATACGTTATTGAGAAATAATATGTGGTTGTTTATTTAAAACACACTAACACTTAATTAATAAAGTATAGGAGTTGATAATTATGAAATGATTAGGTACTTATGTACTTATTTAATCATTTATTTTAACAAAAAGACGACATCTTTTATTGTCTTAACAAAAACCGGAAGTGGGTCAAGGTGAAAGAATCATAGATAATAAAAATAACAGAGAACACAAAAGTTGTACAGAGTAAGTTACTTTAAAGATAGAGATTAATATATTCTAACAATAGGTATTCAAAAATATATGGTTTTCGTATCAGAATAGATTTTTAATTTTTAACTAAAATAAAGACTAACTGTTTTTTATAAACCAAATGTCCTTTTTATAGTGTCATCAATATATATTATAAAATAAAATCGCTTTCGCTGTCTGTCCGTCCATATGTATGCTTAAATCTTTAAAATTACGCAACGGATTTTGAAGCGGTTTTTTTAATAGATAGATTGTAGTAGTAGTAGTTCTAGAGGAAGGTTTATATATATAATACATGTACACCCCTGCGAAGTCGGGGCGAGTAGCTAGTATACCATAAAACAAACACCTATTTAAAATATGTAGCTGTTTGAAAGAAAAAAAAAATGTAGGTATGTACATTAATTCTGTAAAAGTTACTATATGTACGGGAACGTCAAAAATGTATTTTTATGCTGTAACGACAGTAATGGTAACACTAGTATATATAAATAAATTTTAAAAAATCTTAGCTTTTATAGAATTTTTTAGCTTTAAAACTAATATCTTAAAATGAAAGTTTATGATTAGACAAATTTGTATCGCAAATCACCACCAGCACATTAACACAGCACCATCTACTCCCACGGTCAGCAGAGCTTCTGTTATGGGTACTAGACAACTGATATTTTTAATAGATATTTTTTTTTATAAATACAAACATATTACACACAGCCAGACTGATACAAACAATCATACTGAATACAAATGTTTGCACCGTGCCAGGAATCGAACCCGCGACCATAGGAAGTAAAGCGGTGTGCTAAACCGGTAGACCACCGAGGCCGTCATAGTAGAACTATTTTTCTTAAATCGAGTTTATTTTAGAGCTGAGAAAAGTCGCTATCGTAGTAAGTCGTTGCTGATTTGCAGATAAAAAAAATAATAATATCATAGTGTATTGTATGGACCTGAATAAATATAAGTCTGATAGCAATTTAAAAGGTTTATTTGATTTGGTTGCAGGCTGTAGCAGTTCAGATATATGAGGAGCGAGCTCGGATGCAGTCCATATTGGAGCAACAGGAGCGTCTCGCAGACACTTCACTGACCCTTGAGATGCAGCGGATAGAAGCTGAACAGGTGAGCCAATTGAAGACTAGAATTTGAAGATTATTCCACACATGGTCACTCTATTCTACCAAATTTGAATTTAAATGAATTTGTATTATTGTAAACATCATCATTGCCTTGCCTTTATCCCAATATTTGGGGTCGCCGCAGTATGTCATTCTCTTCCACTGCTCTCTATCGGTCGTCATATCTGAACATACTATTCTTTTATTCATATCATCTTTCACACGATCCATCCATCTTTTCTTAGGGCGTCCCCTCCCTTTACATCCATCCACATTCATATATTTATATATTACTGTAAACATGTACAACATTTATTTGAAAAGAATACGAGCTGAGTCTCTTGACAGTTCTTATCATCACATAATTTCGAACTGACGGTAGATTTGACATAACATAAGAGACTGTAATAGACCCTCATGATAAAGATATTTTGAATTAGAAAATTTGAATAAAAAAAAATGTCTTATTAATTTGGATGACGTATACCCAGCGTCAATAAATTCATTTATTTATTTATTTACGCAACTATTATTGGGTCTAGCCAGTACAATAGTGTATCTAATACTATATTATGCATGTTCGTTAATGTAACATATATATTCAATTCAATTCAAAATATCTTTATTCATGTAGGTCTATTACAGACTCTTATGATATGTCAGTCCGTCAGTGCGGAGGAGTGTTTTCGACCTAAGAAAAACTGATAAGAAACTCAGCTCGTATTCTTTTCAAATAAATGTTGTATATGTTCAAAATAATACAGATTCATTTTTAAATTCACGTTTGGGAGAATAGAGTGACCACCAGCATATGCTATTGCAAAAGCAAATAGTCTAATCAGTGTTTGTAACCCGAACAGACCAGTCCCCACAAGCAGCACCCGCTGACGAGTATGACGGACACCTAGCTCTTATCTGCGATTTCATGTATTTTACATAAAACATTAACTATGTTCAACATCATGATACAATATATATAAAGAATAAATAAACATTATTTTTTATCTGTTTTAATAATAATAATCTCAGGACAATGCACACAGCGCCATCTAGTCCGTAGTTAAGTTATTTAAAGCTTGTGTTATGGGTACTAAATAACTGATACAAATACATAGATATATTTTTTGGTAAATACATACATATTATATATAGAAAACCCCAGATACAAACAATCGTACTCATGAAAACAAATGTTTGTGTCGTGCGAAGACTCGAAACCGCGACCATCAGAAGTAAGGTGGTGTGCTAAACCGCTAAACCACCGTGGCCGTCAGATCTTTTACTTTAATAATTTTGTATTTAATTTTTAAGGATTGGGAGAAGGTGCGGGTACAGCGTGAAAGCGAGGAGCAGGATGAAGTGCGAGCTATGTTCAAGCTGCGAGAACAGGAGATCATATCGCAGCTGATGCAGCTCGAGAACAGGCAGTATGATATGGTGAGTTACTCTTCTATTACCTCTCACGAGACTACAGCATGGGATTTTCCAAGAGGGGTATATTAAGGTTTCTTATGGGTCGGCAACGCTCACGTGACACCCCTAGTGTTTCAGGTGCATTTACCATCAGATAGGCCGTATGCTTGTTTGCCACCGTCATGGTTTAAAACAAACTTGCTTATATTTGTTAAACCAGTCCATAAACTAAGAGCAGATTTTTTTAGCATGTGTAGAAATGAGAAGTATTGGTTAGGTGGACTCTATGGAACGCTAGTTCATGAAGTGGGTTTAAGGATTAGAGTTTGTTCGGAGTAGTAGGGGAAGGACCACCTTGTGAGGTAAGGACTGCGGGAAGAAATACGGACAGCACACAAAACACGAACACGAAGTGTTAACTTATCTAAATGATAAAGACAGATAACAAATAAGGGATGTTGACATTTAATTTATTATTGTAGGAACAAGAGAACCAGAGTTTACGCGAGCAGCTCGAAGAGTATCAGCGACGGGAGCGTGAAGACGCAGCCAAGCTCGCTGACTCCATCGCCAGTGCGGCTCAAGACAACGATACTGAAGGTATAAAATATCCATTATTTACACAAATACTTGCCGTTTTACTAGAAACTCATTCCGATTCAATGACGGCATCGGTAGTTTAATAACAACGCTGCCTAACTTCTGATTGTCGTAGGTTTGATTCCTTATATGGTACAAACGTTTGTATTCACGATTAAATTTGTTTGTATTGATATTTGTTTGTATTGTATGGATGTTGTCTGTGTATATTATGTACAGATACCATTAGCATGTTTAATACCACAAATGTTTGGTCCGCAAACATTATTATTGCTACTGGAAGCGTTACGAACAGGTAGCGAAATTTTTCGGTTACCAAAACAATGCAAGTTCTTTTTGGTTGAAGAATAATACTTAGGTTATACTAATTATACTGCTGTAATAACAGGGTACAAATGCAATGATCTTTAAGTGGTAGAGCAAACTGTACGACCACACGTGGTTGTTCAGCTCGATTGGGCCGCTTGAACCGGGAAATACCACACCTCGGCAGAAAACCGGCGTTAAGTGTTATCACGTTGAAGGGAGGGCACAGCTTGATGTATTTTGATACATCTTGCTCGACTTGGGGCGGCCCGAACTGGCATAGTACCTCCACCAAGCAGAAAACCACAGCCAAATAGTGTTGTACTTGCGACAGCACTGTGTTCCTGTGGTGTGTAAGGTGACCAGAGCCCCGTGGGGACTGGTTGTGCTGGTATTGGAGGACCTGTGTGTTCAACAGTGCCGCGGGATTGCATAGGCGCGACGTGGTGGCGCAGCGTTCAGGGAGACCCGGTGAAACGGCTAACCGCTGGCCGCCCGCAGGTTGTTGGGTTCCCGAACCCAGGGATTACTTAATCTCCGCCCTGGGAGGCTGAACCACCGCCTGCGCATAATCCCTGGTGTAGTAGTCGTGCCGGAGAAGGAGACCGGAGTGGACCCGGCTGCTACACCAGTGGGGGGACCGGGGCCCTTCCGGCCGCTGTGCCACCAAATTGCCAAACCTGTGCAATACTGGGGTACATTGACACATACTTTGTCCTTTCTAATACCAGCGCGATCATTCCCCTTCAACCTTAAAAAACAATACCCAAATGGCCAGAAAAAAGAAAAGGAATCGCATTAAATCAGCGGCACCCCTATCCACTATTAATATGGATTTCTGTAACATCAGGGGACTACACGGAAACATCAATGCGGTCCACCATCATCTCGAGACCGCCAAGCCGACCCTTCTGTTCCTTACGGAGACACAGATATCCTGTCCGGCTGATACGTCGTACCTTACGTATCCCGGGTATACACTTGAGCACAAATTTGTGCGTCGAGCTGGGGTATGTTTATATGTCCGGGAGGATATTTGTTGTCGCCGCCTTCTTGGCCTAGAAAAAAAAGACCTGTCAGTACTATGGGTACGCGTAGATCAGGGTGAGTACACCGGTATCTACGCATGCCTATACAGGTCTCATAGCGGTGACGAGGACACGACTCGTCTGTTTGAGCACCTTCAAATCACGTCTGATAAAGTTCTCGAGCAATATCCCTCCGCGAATTTAGTGATACTTGGAGACTTTAATGCCCATAGTGGCTCCGTTCTCGAATCACTGACCATGCGGGGAGAACTGCTCACGAGTTTGCCCTGGCCTATGGATTCTCACAACTGGTTCATTCTCCAACGAGAATACCAGATATCGAGACCCATACGAGCTCCTTACTGGACCTTCTGCTGACTACAGGTCCGGACGAATATTCAGTCACCGTGGAAGCGCCTCTTGGTTCTTCGGATCACTGTCTTATTCGATCCCAAGTACAGTGCACACAACCTGCCACACACCGAACACCTGGTCGACGTCGCATGTGGCATTATAAGTCAGCAGATTGGGACAGATTGCGAGAATTTTACGCGTCGTACCCATGGAAGCACCACTGCTTTGCATCAGAAGACGTCGATACCTGTACAGCCGCCGTTACTGAAGTCATACTTGCGGGTATGGAATGTTTCATTCCAAATCTGCTTGTTGCTTCAGGGGCGAAAAAGCGACCGTGGTTTAATAGGTCATGCAGAGAAGCCAGACAGGCTAAAGAAACTGCTTATCAGGCTTGGACCACGGCTCGTTCCAACAGGGATGTTGGCGTATCTGATGCGAGGCGGAATTTAAATGCTGCGTCCAGGTTTAGTAAAAGAGTAATTGCTAGAGCCAAATTCGACTTCGTCACCAAAATTGGGGAGCGATTAGCCCGTCATCCTTCTGGAAGTCGAGCCTTTTGGTCCCTTGCTAAGGCTGCCGAAGGTAACTTTAGTCAGTCGTCCTTACCACCACTACGGAAGCCGGATGATAACTTGGCACATAGTGCAAAAGAGAAGGCCGATTTGTTGTGCGCTCTTGCCTCAAATTCGACTTTAGACGCTGGGAACACCATACCTACTACCATCCCATGGTGTGGTAACTCTATGCCGGAAATATCCGTAACACAACGGAGTGTCCGGCGAGAGTTGCTGTCTCTCGACGTCAACAAGTCGAACGGGCCAGACGGCATACCGGCTTTGGTGCTAAAGAAGTGTGCTCCTGAGTTGTGTCCCGTACTCACGCGCCTCTTCGCGCCATACCTCTGGGCAATTTCCGTCGTCATGGAAGACCACCCTTGTGCACCCTGTGCCAAAAAAGGGCGACAGGTCAAACCCATCGAACTACAGGCCTATCGCTATCGCATCTTTGCTCTCCAAGGTGATGGAGCGTGTAATTAATACACAGCTCCTCAGATACCTAGAAGATTACGATTTATTGAGCGATCGTCAATATGGCTTTCGCCATAATCGCTCAACTGGTGATCTTTTAGTGTATCTCACACACCGCTGGGCTCTTGCCATCGAGAGCAAGGGTGAGGCGTTGGCAGTCAGCCTTGATATGGCGAAGGCATTCGATCGGGTTTGGCATCAAGGTCTCCTATCGAAATTGCCCTCATACGGAATACCAGAGGGATTATGCAAATGGGTCGCTAGTTTTTTGTCTGGCAGATGCATCAAAACCGTGGTCGACGGTAGTTGCTCCAATAGCATGGACATTAACGCTGGCGTCCCGCAAGGCTCTGTTCTCTCCCCGACACTGTTTTTGCTGCATATTAATGATTTGTTAACTACGGTTGACATTCATTGCTATGCGGATGACAGTACTGGGGACGCGTCTTACACGGGCCGTGCGAACATCCCTCTTTCCGTTGTGGAGTCAAAGCGCGAACAGCTTGTGTCTGAAATCGAGAGTACTCTCACCAGAGTCTCCGATTGGGGGCGATTGAACTTAGTTTAATTCAACCCTACCAAGACACAAGCCTGCGCGTTCACCGCTAAGAAAACCCCTTTTGCTGTGGCTCCGCAATTCCAGAACACGTCCATTACCATCTCTAAGAGCATTGGGATTCTCGGTGTCGACATCTCTAGCACAGTTGAGTTCCGTAGTCATCTCGAGCTGGCGTCCAAGAAGCTCGGTGTGCTGAATAGAGCGAGGCGGTACTTCACTGCGAACCAGAGACTTCTATTGTATAAGTCGCAAGTTCGGCCGCACATGGAGTACTGCTCTCATCTTTGGGCAGGAGCACCTGGATACCAGCTCGGTCCTTTTGACTCGGTTCAGAGACGTGCTATGAGAATTGTCGATGATCCCAATCTCTCTAACGGTATCGAACCACTTAGCTTGAGGCGAGACTTCGCATCGCTTTGTGTGTTCTACCGAATATACAATGGACTGTGTTCTGATGAATTGTTTGACATGATGCCTACGGCTACCTTTTACCATCGCACCGCTCGCCATCGACACGGAATTCATCCCCACACGCTGGAACCTAAGTGGTCTCGTACAGTGCGGTTTCAGAGGAGCTTCCTCCCGCGTACACTTAGATTGTGGAATGAACTACCTGCCGAGGTTTTCTCGAGAGACTACAGCATGGGGGTTTTCAAGAAGGGTATATTAAGGTTTCTTAAGGGTCGGCAACGCGCATGTGACACCCCTGGTGTTTCAGGCGTCCATAGGCTACGGTAGCCGTTTACCATCAGATGGGCCGTATGCTTGTTTGCCACCTAAGTGGTATAAAAAAAAAAAAACGTTTCGCATGGTGAGCTGTAGGTTCCGGTTGCCCCTCCTCCTCCCACTATCCCTTTCCTACTTCCCTCCCCTACCCACCCCTTTCTTACATACCACGGCAGCGGAATACAAGAGATTTTTACCCCAGGGTAGTACCAGTAACGGTGTTACTGGAGAATCCACCCCTGAAATATCACACTCAGGCTGCCCTGCGTATTCTGGGGTGGGCAATACTCCGCTCAATTTGGCCAACAGGAAACCGAGCAAATCTCCATCGGCATTTCCCTTGCTCATAGTCAGTTTTTGCAACATCAGGGGAATTCATTCCAATCTCAACGCCGTCCACCACCACCTGGAGACGGCGAGGCCGGCTTTGCTCTTCCTTACGGAGACGCAAATATCCTGTCCCAACGAAATTTCGTACCTGACCTACCCTGGATATAAATTGGTACACCATTTTATTCCACGGGCCGGTGTGTGCGTTTATGTCAGAGTCCTGACCTGTCCATTTTATGGTTGCGTGTAGATCCTCTAGCTCCAACAGATTCCCTCCGCTGAGGTCGTGATTCTAGGTGACTTTAACGCCCATCTCGCTAAATGGCTCGGTTCACGTACCACCGACTATGTGGGGAGAACTGTTCATGGCTTTGGCGTATGTTTTGACGCAACTGGTATCTTCGCCTACGCGAATTCATGATGTTGTTGACCATATATCTTCACTGTTGGACCTTCTGCTGACTTCTCATCCGGACGGATATCTCTGTGGAAGTCCCACTTGGATCCTCTGATCATTGTCTGATACGGAACGAAGTGCCTGTCACGCGTCCTTCTTTGCCGCGATCTACTGATCGACGTCGTGTTTGGCATTTTAAGTCGGCAGATTGGGATGAGATGCGAAGTTTTTTTGCATCTTACCCATGGGGGCGAGTTTGCTTCACACTGGACGATCCTGATGTAATAGCTGAATCTGTCACCGATGTAATACTTCAGGGAATGGAGATGTTTATTCCAAATTCCCTGGTACCTGTCGGTGGTAGATCTCTGTCCTGGTATGGCGGATCCTGTTTGTCTCGCCATAAGCAGGAATGCTTCCGTGCCTGGATTGCAGCTGTGAAGTCAAGTGATCCAGATACCAGTGCCCATAAAAGGAAGTATAACTCCGCTTCCAGGTCCTTCAAAAGAGTTATAGCCACAGAAAAGTCGGAGCACATTAGCAGAATTGGTAAGAGACTGAACAGTCTTCCATTTGGATCCCGGGCTTTTTGGTCTCTTGCCAAAGCTGCTCAGAGAAATTTCTGTCAGCCATCTTTTCCACCACTGCGCAGAAAGGATAACTCGTTGGCCCAACATGCTAAAGAGAAGGCCGATCTCCTTGGGTCTCTTCTTGCATGCAACTCGACACTGGACAATAGGGAGCAATCACCGCCGGTCATCTCGCGGTGTGAGACTTTTATGCCAGAGATAAAATTTACCCAAAAGCTGGTACGTAAGTCTCTTTTCTCCCTTGATATCCACAAGTCGAGTGGGCCTGACGGTATTCCTGCTATTGTGCTCAGGACGTGTGCACCTGAGTTGGCTCCGGTACTAATGCGTTTTTTCCGATACTGCTACTCTATAGGTGTAGTCCCGAAACTTTGGAAGACGGCTTTGGTTCATCCGATCCCTAAGAAGGGAGATCGCTCAGATCCAGCTAACTATAGGCCCATAGCCATCACCTCCTTATTCTTAAATATCATGGAGTCGATTGTCAACCGTCAACTCCTACGATACCTACAAGTGAACCAGTTGACTTCTGATCGTCAGTATGGCTTTCAGGGTCCAGGGTCGGTCAGCTGGTGATCTTCTACTGTATTTGACACTTTGCTGGGCAGAGGCTATTGAGAGTAAGGGGGAGGCCCTATCTGTTAGTTTGGATATTGCGAAGGCCTTTGATCGGGTTTGGCACAAAGCTCTGCTTTCAAAGCTACCATCCTTCGGGTTGCCTGCGAAGTTATGCAATGGGTTGCCAGCTTTCTCGCTGATCGGAGCATCAAGATCGTTGTCGATGGTGCTTGCTCCGATCCACACTCTGTGAATGCTGGTGTTCCACAAGGCTGTGCTATCTCCGACTCTGTTCCTTCTGCATATCAATGACATGTTACAAATCAACAACATTCATTGCTATTCGGATGACAGTACCGGAGATGCCTTGTACAGCGGCCATGCCAATATGTCGCAGGCAAAAGTTATAGAGTACCGGAACAAACTTGAGTCCGAAATAGAAACTTCACTCCATCAAGTTTTGGTTTGGGGTCACGAAAATTGTGTTCAATTCAACCCCAAGAGAACACAAGTTTGCGCGTTTACCGCTAAAAAGAATCCATTTATCGTATCTCCTCAGTTTCAAGACACTCTCCTTGATGTGAAGCCAAATCTCGAGGTCCTTGGTGTTGATATATCCAGTGACTTTCAGTTTTGCAGTCATTTGGAGGACAAGGCTAAAATAGCCTCAAAAATGCTTGGTGTGCTCAGTAGAGTGAGACGGTATTTCACGGCTGCCCATTGCTTGCAATTATACAAGGCGCAGATTCAGCCGCATATGGAATACTGTTCTCATCTCTGGGCGGGAGCACCGCAATATCAGCTACTTACTTTTGACCTCATTCAGAACCGATAAGCTAGAATAATTGGTAATCAACGTCTATGTGACAGACTCGACTCATTGACTTTGCGGCGAGATATTGCATCTCTGTGCATTTTTTACCGCAATTATCACGGGGAGTGTTCTGAGGAATTGTTCGGATTAATACCAGCTGCTGAGTTTCACCATCGTACCATCCGCCAGAAACTGAAATACCATCCTGATCATCTGGATGAATGACGGTCTTCCACGGTGCGGTTTTCTAGAAACTTTTTGCCACGTACAATCACATTGTGGAATCACCTTCCAGCAATGGTATTTCCGAACCGATACGATATTGAAACCTTCAAGAAAAGAGCTTATTCCTTTTTAAAAGGCCGACAACGTATTTGTAATTCCTCTGGTGTTGCGGGTGCTCATGGGCGGCGGTAATCACTTACCATCAGGTGAGCTAGATGCTCGTTTGTTCCGTGTTATAAAAAAAAATACTTTTATTTTAGTTCTTCAGAATGTTAAAATACTATGTCTATACATATAAATAAAATTGGAGTGTCTGTTTGTAATTTTGAAATAACCTTTTTTTATTACGTGCATATGTATATAAATACGGTACATACACCAAAATATTTTTTTATACAATTTTTGTCTGTCTGTTTGTTTATCTGTTTGTTCCGGCTAATCTCTGAAATAGCTGGACTGATTTTGACCGGACTTTTATTGGCAGTTAGCTTATGTAGGAGTAACTTACGCTACTTTTATTTAAAGAAAATAAAGTTAAATTCCATGCTAAAGAAGTGGCTTGAACGGCTAGTAAATAATATTATTCCGGTGTAAAGAGCGATCGTTACTTCTCATAAGATGGGTCGTCAGCTTTATCCAAGGGTACAGAATAGGTATCACACGCGTTCTGAAATCGAAGCGGCTACTGCTACCTACTCGTCTACTGTGGTTTATATTTGAAATCTGTAATATTTGCACCCGGTCAGCGGAGCGAGCCCGGCTGGCCAGCGAAGCCGCGGCTGCGGAGCGAGAGGTGGAGGCCGCGCGGGCGCGCATCGACAGCATGCACGCGCAGCGCCTGCAGCTGGACCGGCGCCGCGCGCGGCTGCAGGCCGAGCGGCTGCGCAAGCTGCAGGCCGCCCGCCGGGCCCGCAAGCCCGACCCGCACGTACGTACCGCTCACGAGCGACGTCTGCAGCTGGACCGGCGCCGCGCGCGGCTGCAGGCCGAGCGGCTGCGCAAGCTGCAGGCCGCCCGCCGGGCCCGCAAGCCCGACCCGCACGTAAGCCCGACCCGCACGTACGTACCGCTCACGAGCGACGTCTGCAGCTGGACCGGCGCCGCGCGCGGCTGCAGGCCGAGCGGCTGCGCAAGCTGCAGGCCGCCCGCCGGGCCCGCAAGCCCGACCCGCACGTACGTACCGCTCACGAGCGACGTCTGCAGCTGGACCTCGACTGCTGCAGAACTGCCATCACCACCGTCCGAACTATCTCCTCACCCTGAAGTCACTGAAGATCGAGTCCCGCGGAATGAACGAGATAAACTTTGTGTGCAGTCGTCTACGTGAATTACTGTATCCGACGGGTTTACTCGATACCATTTATACCCGTGAAATAAAGGACATAGAAGCGAGGCTTTTGAAATCTGTTAGCGTCAGAATTTGTTACATCTAAATATATATAACTCAAAGGTGACTGACGTAGTGACCTATCAATGCACAGCCCAAACCGCTGGACAGATTGGGCTGAAATTTGGCATGCAGGTAGATGTTACGACGTAGGCATCCGCTAAGAAAGGATTTTGCTAAATTCCACCCCTAAAGGGATAAATTAACGCGAGCGAAGCCGCGGGCAAAAGCTAGTATATTATAATGTTGACACCCTTTTTTCGATATTCATTCCATACAAAAAGTTCGTTGTGTTGTCTATTGAAGTCTTTGGGCCTAGCTTGCACGACATGAATAATTTAAGAATTGTAAACATACAGAAATCTATGGCATTCAGATCTTTTCTGGTGGAAAATAACGATGAGAACTAAAATGAAACGCATCTACTCCAAGAAATCCATTGACCATAGAGTTAATAATTCCAGATTGATATTTCTCCCGGAATACAAAAGCTGGAAGTGCGTTCCTCTTTACGATTTCGTAGTAAAAATAATTGGCAGTTAAATAAGTGTATTAACTCCATAAGTATATAATTAATTAATATATAATATTCTTCAACAGGATGATGACAGTGATACTTACATGGGATCCCCTGACAGTCCAGGGGCTACCGGACTCAACCGTTCTCATTCTTCTCCAAATATACCAAAGGTGAGTTTTTATAGTCCAAATATTATAAAACACCATTTATTTATTTTAGTGGCATTAAAATACATAGAGCATTAACAAACAAACATCCATACTTACAATCTTTCGCATCGATAATATGAATAACCACATCTTATTATTATTATAAATTCAAAATTCAAATTCAAATTCAAAATATCTTTATTCATGTAGGTCTATTACAGACTCTTATGATATGTCAAATCTACCGTCAGTTCGGAATGATTTCGAGATGAGAAGAACTGACAAGAAACTCAGCTCGTATTTTTTTTAATAAATGTTGGACATATATACAAATATACAGATAAATAAGTAGAATCTAAATAAAATACATCTTATTAAAATGTTGACACAATTTATAAAATAAACTAAAAGCCACACAACACCGGCATCCGCAATTTTTTTTTATATTAAAAGCACATACGTTTATTAAAAAGTTAAACGTTATTAAAAAAAATAAGTAAAGTTAAATCAGTCAAGTAAAAGACTTCCTCTTCAATATTCAAATTTCACTCGTATGGCATTTTAATTTATATTTAGTTCATTCTATTTAACTTTAAAATTATGTAGATAGTTTATAATATGTATGTATTTTATGTAAGTGTATAATAATAATAACAAGAATTTGGAAACGGGAAAAAGTTTATATCATACCCATAGTCCTCTCATCTACAGGTATCATACCCAATCACCTACATCATAGCCTGAAACAATTAGATATACAAAAAACACTTTACATCACCCTTCAAAAGGCTGCCATCTTAAATACTTGTCGTACAGTCCGAAAATTTCTCGAAATAGATGAAAAAGATATAATACCAGGCACACAATAAGTACACACTCACGCATACACACACGCACTCACATATACACACACTCTGCACTTACTCGGTTTTGGCCCGTAAGTGTGGAGAAAACCAGCAAAAGCTGAGAAAAGAAAACAATAATAATAAGTCATTCTCAACACATGCCGTCTTGTACGGAAATTTCTGTCGTCTTCACTTTCATCATCCACATATAACTTTTAAACTCATCCACGCTTGGCTAAGGCCCGCGTGTTTGAATGTATTACCCCTGTAAAAAGGGAGATATATAAAACAATAATAATAATAATAATAACATGCTCTACAGTCAGAAAATTTTTAAATAGTCCAATTCCAAACATTCCTACTGATTAAATAGAATAGAATAGAATAGAAAATCATTTATTCAAATAAACTTACATTGAAGCACTTTTGAATAGTCATTACATTTTTTAATCTACCGCTCGTTCGGAAAGCTCTCTCATCACAAGAAGAACGAGCGATAATTTTATTATTACTTTACATTTTTAAGTTTAAGTGTGTGAATACAAACCACCAATTAGCACTAATTCAATTAAATACTCAAATAGAAAAAATATTGAATATATAACTTTAGATTAGAAAAGATTAAATAAAAATAGGAGAACAAGTGACTTGTTAAAACCCGTCCTTGTCTCTACAGAACCAGCTATAGCTGAGAAATAATATATGTACATGATAATAATAAAACTCTATCGTGTACACTAAAATATTGTAGTATGTTATTTTATATAATAAGAAAATACAGTAAATAGTAAAATAATTACAAAAGGCGATCTTATCACTAAATGCAATCTCTTACTGACAACCTAGAAGAGAGGACTTATGTACATAGAATAGGGTAGGTGGCACACATAAGACACTATTTATTAGTGCATCTAGTAATATATGATTACTAGCTGTCGCGGCAAACGTTGTTTTGCCTTAAAATAAAAAAAAAATTAGGGGTGGACTACCCCTAACATTTAGGGTGATGAAAAATAGATGTTGGCCGATTCTCAGACCTACTCAATACGCGCAAAATTTCATGAGAATCGGTCAAGCCGTTTCGGAGGAGTATGCGAACGAAAACTGTGACACGAGAATTTTATATATAAGATTGTTATATACATAACATTTTAATTCATATAATATTAATTATTATTGTCCTTCATCATCTTTATATATCTGTTATTTTAGTTACTTTTAGTTTTCTCCTGTTTATGTCATTTTACCTATCTGTTCGATATTTCAATACGTTTCTCTAATGTTGCCTTGAAAAGATTGCTTTCAGTAATAAGCCCGCCTTATTGTAACGATACATGTGTCCTTTGTTATATTGTTTGTACTTCTTCTTTACTGTATGTTGCAAATAAAGTATATTCTATCTATGTATACATATAAATAAAATTGGAGTGTCTGTTTGTAATATTGAAATAACCGTTTTTAACTACATGCATATGAATATAAATACGGTACAGGTACATACACCAAAATAACATTTTTTACAAGTTTTGTCTGTCTGTTTGTTCCGGCAAATCTCAGAAATTGATAGTTAATTAAAAATAAATAACAGATGCCGTCTGAAGAGGAGGAGATGATAGTCCCAGCAGTGGACCGCAGCACGAAGCCGAATAAGGTGGCGCCCTCCAGCGAGATGTACCAGCGCGACTTTCAGCCCGTCTGGGGCGATGTTGTGAGTACCATTCATGTATTTAATGAGTTGGTCACGGATTCGATGCTCGGATAATTTACAAATACATTGATATAGTTTATTTATTTATTAATAAGTACACAAAACAGATTAGGTTCATCAAACCCAGGACCATCGAAAGTAAGGTGGTAATATAATTGGAATGCGTAGGACGAAGTCACAGTTGAGTTATTACGTACTGAAAGTATATATTTTTTAAACTTGCAATACGATATCTGTTGCGGCCTCTTTTTGACAGGACTGCTTGCTGACCGCTTACAAGACGTGATTAGAACAAACAGAACAATTGACAAGACATACGACAGACACAAATAGAAATAGAAATAGAAATAATCTTTATTCAAATAAACTTAATATAAGCACTTTTGAATAGTCAAGTTTTTTTGTTCTACCGCTTATTCGGAATGCAGATTCATCACAAGAAGTATAAGCAAGAAACTTATGTGTTGCTCTTTTAAATAAATATTTATTTACTTATATTTAATTAACAACAAGTACACAGTTTAGACATTTGACTAATTATTGAAAAGAAAATAATTAATGGAAAAGGAAGTAAAAATACGATTTCAACCTGGAAGAACGTCTTCCACACTCAGATGAGGTAAGACCAAGCGCAAACCCATTATTAATAAAAAAATATATATATTATACTATCAAACAAGCTCTCTGATCTATACTATCAAACAAGAGCAACACACAAGTTTCTTGCTCGTTCTTCTTGTGATGAGACAGCTTTCCGAACGAGTGGTAGATAAAAAACAAATTGTTATGACTATGATTCAAAAGTGCTTAAATTAAGTTTATTTGAATAAATGATTTTCTATTATATTCTATTCTATTCTCTTTCATTACCGACGACAATCTTAACGGTCGGCCGACAAGCAGACCGTTCAATATCATAAAAATATATATTTAGTGTTAGGGAAAATACTTTATATGGAAGCGTCTGTCTCGTACCTGTATGGTTCTGCGGATTTCTTAGGCTTCAGGGTCTCGAAGATATTTTTATTTTTCGCTAGCTTTCCAGTTTCACAGTAGGTTTAAATCAGTTTTAATTTATTTTAATATACAAAAAATGCGCGCGCGTCATGGCCGCCGTACGGTCAGTTCTGTCATAGGTAAGGGGGGGAGCAAGGAAAAGCGCGGGAACAGAAACTAATGGACTCTGATATAATAATCTGTGCTTACGATGGTGCAGGGTAGATTTTTAACATTTAGTAATTGAAAATTTACTTCAAACATTTTTTAATATTAAAGTTTATTACTACTCCCGGTTCATTAGCTGATATTATTAATATACTAGCTGTCCCGGCAAACGTCGTTTTGCCATAAAATAAAAAAAAAATTAGGGGTGGACTACCCCTAACATTTAGGGGGATGAAAAATAGATGTTGGCCGACTCTCAGACCTACTCAATACGCTCACAAAATTTCATGAGAATCGGTCAATCCGTTTCGGAGGAGTAGGGGAACGAAAACTGTGACACGAGAATTTTATATATAAGATATAAAAAATTGTATTTATTGCTGTATATTCACTGTATATCCACATCAGCGTCACTTCTCGTTTTATAACAAAGTAATCCAGACAATACAAAAATACAAACTAAATACAAAATAACTATTTCTATATATTGTATGAAATTAGGTGTTATTTCTGCGGAAGTCCGTTATCTTATCATAATGGATTTATATTATTTTGTTTCATTCCGCTACCATTAGCATGTGCGAGACCACAGATATTCTGTGCGGAAACCAGACCAGCGCGACTAGAAGCGTCACTGCCTTCTATATCCGTGGTCAAATCAACGTCGGACTGTTATCGCATTTAGATCCGATCGACATATTCGACACGTGTTTCCGACGCCTCTGAATGAGGCATCATTGGGCAATGAATATAGTTTGGAAGTCTAGTTGTAGCATTCGCACTAATCCGAAATAGCGGTGGCTTTATGCTACATAGGGACTATACTGTTTTAAACTTGATGCGGTCATTATTTAATTAAACAAAAACAAAAAACGCGATCAAAAAGTGTATTAAATGTACGTAAAGATACTGTGAGTACAGTTTGCCGAGATGAATATCGAGCGAGTTCCAGTAGTAGCAACAAACGAAGACGTGTGAAGGTAGACGCATATGTCTGCCCATAAAAAGATTTCATTTTCCATCTACCCGCTGCTCTTCAGTTTACCCGTGATCATGGTGGTTGAAACACTACCGAAATATCGGGAACTCAGCAAATAAATATAAAACGTGGTAAGATCCCGTGATTTCTACTAATTATACGTATACATAGGGACTATTACGTATACAAATAAATCGATGTTCTAAAAACTCGTTGACAATAGCAAATATAATGCACACACGTACCTTGTTCTGCTAATGCCTTCGATGAACATCCACCTTCGGTAGATCCGGTCTTTGAAGACGTGAGGTGAGGTTGATTGAATGTTGTAGTCTGGTCGCGGAAGAATGCTAATAGTAGCAGAATTAAACAAAATAATATAAGAGATAAATCAATTTATAATGTTAATTGTTGAAATTTGGCAAATGATCCACGTGCCGGGCCATATAAAGAAAAAAAAAGAAAATTATGAATTATTTGATATAAATAAATTACTGTATTGTGTTTAGTTTAGATCTGTCAAAATTGTTGTAAAAGTAGATATAAATAAATAAATATACTTCCATTAAGTAATGGAATATCTATCTATCTATCTAATGTTTCATTAGATAGATAGTTATTAGATACGACACGCTCATTATTTATACGTATAATTAGGAAAAATCATGGTATTTGTCCGAATCTGTTGAGTTCCCGATATTTCGGCAGTCTCAACCGCCATGATTACGGATAAATGAGAAACGCAATAAAAATAAATAAAATGTGCTCAGATCCCGTGTTTTTATGTAATTTATAAATGAAGCATTTCGTTTGAAACGAAAACTCGGTTGAAAAATCAATGCATGACGCGGTGTGTCGGTCGTACTACGGGGGCGGTGCGGCGACGTATAAAGTGCGTGACGTACGCTCGAGTCAAGGCTCGGAATCCCCACTAGTGCTAATCCGCACTATCAACGAACGTGCGCGATTACTCACTAATGAGCGGATGTATTCTTGTACGCAATTATGTTACTAGGTCTTGTTATATATTTAAATATATATTTAAAAAAAAAAATATATATATATAGTTCGTTTTATTAGTTATTTATCCCGGAGAAAATAATAATAATTATTTCAGCACAATTCACCATCTAGTCCCAAGTTAAGCTAGCTAAAGCTCGTTTTATGGGTACTAGATAACGGATACAAATACATTTTTTTTTTTCGTAAATACATGCTTACTGTATTGAGAACTTCCAGGTCGATACAAACAGTCATACTCATGAATACAAATGTTTGTACCGTGCGAGGCATCGAACCCGCGACCAGGGAAACCGGTGTGCTATACCACCAAGGCCGTTAAAATATATATATAGTCCTGGGTTATTATTAAATTAAAAGAAACTTAATTTTAATTCTTGCACCTAAAAAATAAATTCAAACTTATAGCTTTAAAAAAGACAATTTTTCCATACAACCTTGTAATGTTCAATAGTTTTGGCGTGACAGCAAGATAAACAGACAGACAGAGTTACTTTCGCATTTATTAAGGATTACGTACAATGGTATAACTTTGTTTTATTTCAACTGATCTTATATTAGTTGGAAAGATAAAGTAAGAAATGAAGAAAATAGTCAAGATGGTAGAATCTGTTAAATCATATTTACTGAGCAAAGCCTATTACTCACTAAACGATTACTTGAATGACGAGCGTGCATGGCAATAGTTGTTCATGTACGGGATTTTTATTTAATGTTAAACATAGACACGTATATAATTATACATTGTTAATAAACTTGCTTTTAAAAAAAGTAATTCATTTGAGTTTCTTGCCAGTTCTCAATTTGATCTATATACCACTGAACTAGACGGTAGGGAAAAAATTAAAATTATAATCTAAAAATTTGATGTTCATAAGCTGCTAAAATGTCCTACATGAATAAATGATTTTTGAATTTGAATCTGAATTATAGAATTAAGCCAGATATTGAATAGTATAGAAATGCGAATGTTGAGATGGATGTGTGGTGTGACAAGGATAGACAAGATAAAGAATGAATACATCAGAGGAAGTATGAAAGTGGCGCCGGTGTCGGAGAGGTTGAAGAGTAATCGTCTATCGTGGTATGGGCATGTAATGCGTAGGAATGAAGATCATATCCTAAGGACGGTGTTACATATGAATGTGGATGGTTATAAGGGTAGAGGAAGACCGAAAAAGAGATGGATGGACTGTGTGAAAGATGATATGGTGAGAAAGGGAGTAAATAACGAGATGACTGCGAACAGAGATGAATGGAAGAGAAAAACATATTACGACAACCACAAATAAATGGGATAAGGAAGAAGCAGCAGATTTTCCACGTCTATTTTCTATACTATTCAATCATCTGATTGAATAGTATAGAAAATAGACGTGGATAAATGTTAGACACGATGGATGTAAGAAAATTATTATTGAGGGAACAATAGAAAGAAAGAGGGGCAGAGGAAGACCAAGGCACAGCTACATCAAGCAAATTAAAGACTAAATTGCATTTGGATATTTATGTATTGTATTTGTGCGTTAAATAATACGAATGTTGATACTCTGCGAGGATTTTAAGGGTTCTTAAGGGTCGCCAACGCACGTGTCTAATACGAATAACTAAGGGGACAAACAAGCATGCGGCTCACCTGATGGTAAGTGATTACCGCCGCCCATGAGCACCCGCAACATCAGGGGAATTGCAAGTACGTTGTCGGCCTTTTAAAAAGGAATAAGCTCTTTTCTTGAAGGTTTCAATATCGTATCGGTTCGGAAATACCATTGCTGGAAGGTCATTCCACAATGTGGTTGTGCGAGGCAAAAAGTTTCTAGAAAACCGTACTGTGGAA